AATACGATTAAAACGTGATTAAGAAATTTTACGAACGGAAATTCAGAAATTAGTTACGAAAAATTAAGAACTTGCTGTTGAATTAAACATTATCATAGTCATAGCAAAATCACAATAAAATCATGCTCAAATTAAATAACTTTAGCAACACGTTACTAAGCCCTAAAACCATGGAAATCAGGTTTTAAACCTTAATCTCACAAATTATGAAATCTGAAAATTAATTATATGCTTAACATATCATAAACTCGATAAATTTGCAATCTTTCACAACTCAAAAACATAATCAAACTATAATAATTGTTAATCAATGAAAAATTCATGTAAAGATTAAAGCTTTGAAGAATTTAAACAAGAAAAGAGAGGAAGATAGAAGAGAAGGGAGATGAGAGGAACCGGCTATGGTGGTACGGGGCTGCAGCGAGGTCGCCGGTGGTGGTTTCCGGTTGAGGCAGCAGCGAAGGGGAAGAAGCAGCGATTTTTTTTTTTTTTTTTTTTTTTTTTTTTGTGTGTTTCGTTAATGAGGCAGCAAGGAAGAGGGAGTCATAAGGGGAAGCAGTAAAGGAGGGTTTTTGAAAAAAAAGTTTACTTAATTAGAAAATGAGGGTTTGAGAGGTTTGGGCTTCTTTTATTTTTTTGTAAAGTTAGAATGGTAATCATAGCCCAACGTGAGTAAAATGCTATTGAAGTATAAGTTTTTGTTGTTTTTTTTTTTTTTGAAATCTTCCCAAAGTATATTTGTATAATTATAAAATTAATAAAAAATATTCGTATACACAAAAATATATAACTGTTATTTACTAAGGAAAAATATGGGGGATTACATATGTGCTCCTGGTGCGCCTAGTGCTTGCGATAGGCTGCCAGGTGCTCCTGGTCCGCCTAGTGCTTGTGATAGGGCAGCGATGGTGCGCCTAGCACACCTAGTGTGCTTAGGCTTGCGCCTAGTCATGCTAGGTGCATGCTAGCTCGAACTAGCCTAGCATCCACATGGTTAGACCATTGTGGTGCTACGGCTACGCTCGTACTTGTCGCTTGTGATTTTGCGATGCTCGGCCTCGACGCCCTAGGCTCGATTTCCGACGTTTGTATTCGTAAAACTCTGTCGACTCATTAAATCCTTTCGGATTAATTCGTCGTCTCGGATCGGTGATTCGATTGGGTTCGACCCGAAGGGTTCAGTTAAGATTAAGCTGTAATATCAATTGTACCTTGATATTACTGATCGGAAGCGGCCTCTACCTAGGCATTCCGATCACTTGATCTTACTGAAGAATTGACTCTGTAATAATTCTGAACCCTCTATCGGAAGAATACACTTGTTGGAAGGACACCATTCCTTTCACTCTCCGGTATTTTGGGGAGGGCGCATTTCTTTCCCAATAGAGCCGGGTGCTTATTGTAACGGCACAGCCGGTAGTTCACAGCCGGAGAAGGGGAAGAGACCATGTAAAATTTGCTCTTCCAGCTGGTCCACTTGGACGGCTTCTCCAAAGTCATCATGTACTCCGGATGCGTGGTCAATGTGTACCACGCATTCCAGCCGCTTGGGGCACGGATAAGATAGTGCATATGTGCAAACGCCTCCCAGCTAGGCATCACATCCTGCATTTCACAGGCGGTTATGTACCCCAAAATGTTCACCCAAGAGTTAAGTGTGAGCTGCCCGACGCCAAGGTCGTAACCCCTTAGAATGGCTTTGATTGTGTTGTGGAGAGGGAACCGGAGACCGGCTTTGAATGCCGCTTCATAGCAGCCGAAGTAATTATCGCCGTGATCTAGGTTGTCATCCCAAACAACGGCTGCGTCCACAGGCGGAACGACGACCTCCCATCCGGCCCCTACCGGGCGCTTCTCCAAAAATGTCGGGAGGGTTGCATTTAAAGTGACAACATCCCGGGCGCTCATGTGTGCCTCTGTTGGGTTATTTATCGAAGGCCAATTGTATGACTCCTCATCCTCTTGAGGGGCATCCGGCTCCATCGTTGACTTAGTGGAGTCAGATTGCTGGACGGTCTCTTCACCGTCTGAGCTCCCGGATTCCTCAAGAATCTCATCTCCGGGCGTGCTAGGTACGCTCGGTTGGTCAAAAGGAGTATCATCAACCGGAGTTCCGGCTGAATCATCTGACTGGTATTCGGGGTCAACAACCGTTTTCCTTGTCCGAGCCATTCTGTCTTGCACATGAACAGAGACGGTCGGATTCTTAGAAGAGTAAGGGTGGTCCAAACACCCCCTGACGGCATCCCTAGTCTTAGATTTAGCCGTATCCGGTGAACGGTTAACAACTGCCCTAGGTTGTGCCATGTGTGTGTTGGGAGAGTCCATTATTCTCTAACAACCTATACAGCTGGGAAAAACTCAAAAAGTTGCAAGGGGTAGAGACGGTACCTTTAAGTTGTGAAAAAACTTGGGAGGAGATTGACTCCTTTAAGCTAGCAGGCGGATCTTTGGTTTGTTGCTTGAAGATACCCCAGAAGGTGCCCGGATGTACCCCTTTGAAGAGCAACTGAAACTTGAAGATGATCCAACCGTTTTCTTGAAATGTGGCATGAAGATACCACAGGCGGAAGAGACCGGCTGTGTGTGTTTTGAAATCTAGACAAAAAAAAAAAAAAAAAAAAGAGAAAAAAAACGAATGGTCAGACGTTTTTGAAGAAGATTGTTTAAAGATGCCCCAGGCGGTATAAAACTGGTTGTGGGTCTATTGAATGCAATTTATGAAGGAAATTGCTTAAAAATGCCCCAAGCGGTATAAAACCGGCTGTGGGTCTATTGAATGAAATTTATGAAGGAAATTGCTTAAAGATGCCCCCGGTGGTATAAGACCGGTTGTGGGTCTATTGAATGAAGTTTTTGAAGATTGCTTAAAGATTCCCTAGGCGGTATAAGACTGGCTGTGGTTCTATTGAAATCAAGAAGAGAAAATTGACTAAGTCAAACGGTACCTTAGTGAGTTGATCAAAGAAGCACTCAACCGGCATCCGGACGTGTCTGAATCGAAGAAGCTGGTTGAACGCAAGAGCAGCCGGTGTTAGAGCTTTTTTCTCTCAAGGAAGTTTTTTTTTTTTTTTTTTTTTTTTTTTTTGTGAAAATTTGCAAAGAATGGAATGAGAGAAGGAAGCCTCCCATTTATAGGAGGGGGGCAGAAGGTGAATCGTCACCTCCCCCTCCAATTCAAATTCGAAATTCGAATTAAAAAAAATGGAGGGAAGGAGACGAACCGTCACCTTCCCAGAATGTGACACGTGTCACAGGTGCCACGTGGCAAGCCACGTCACACCTGTGAGGGGCAAAGGTTTGGGGTAAAATTACCCTATGCTATGTGGCCCAATAGCAAGCTGACACGTGTCAACCCCGCAGAGAGGCCCAATGGGATCCAATCGGATGCTGACACGTGGCACTGTAACCTTAATAGGGGAAAACACTCATAGATACAAACACAAAAACCGAGCAATATTAATTGTAGAATTCTCTCAGAATCAGAGAGAAAATAAATCCATTTACTTTCCACACTTTTATATATCCGGAGACGTTCTAACTTGATCGTCGGAGGTGGAACTCCACCCAACCGGAGTTTTGTGGTTTTGTAGGTACAGACGGTCGGCACGCATTCCCAGAATTGTGTAGCTCTCCCGACAGACTCCAAAAACCCCCAAATAGTAACTTGTCAATGATGGCCACAACTTGCATTTGTTCATCCACAGTGATACGTTCGGATTGAATATTGTGGACATATTTTTGAAGCTCTTCTGCCACAGACTTGTTATCCTCCATTTTGAAATTGAAGAACTTGCTACAAGCAAAATTCTTGGCCCCGACTTCTTTGGTATCATATTTTTGTTGGAGAGCTTTTCATATCTTTCTTGCATTGGTGTAGAAATTAGAGTAGTAGTCATAAAGTTCATCGGACAAACAATTGAGTAGATAATTTCTACAATCTTTTTCATTGCTCTTCTACTTCTCAACTTCCTTATTGTGCTTCTCTAGCTCTTCGGGTTTCATTCCGGTGGTAGCTTATTTAGTAGGATTTTTGGTGTCCAAAATCCACACTACCTTCATGAGTTTCGAGTAAAACAACACCTTCTTGGACCAACGCTTGAAAAACTCACCGGAAAATTTAAAAGGATTGTTAAAATCATTAGGATTAGAAGTGGTTGGTGAAAGGTCCATAGTTCGTCTTAAGATTGTTGGAAATAATACATGAAACAAAAAAGTAAAATATAAAATGGAAAACTAATATGGAAATTTAGTTGGTTGAGTCGCGGATAACTTTCAGCTGTCCTCAAGACGATTCACGCCCTCCAATACAAATCGCAGGGAGTAAACGGCGCATCGTCCCCAGGATAAAACCCCAACTTATTCACTCCTTAATCTACTATTAAGGAGTAGAAGTTTATATAATAACCAAAATACCCGACTTTGTATATTATCTAAGTATGTAGGGGAATGTTTTTTTTTTTTTTTTTTTTTGTAAATTAGAAAAACGCAAGTATCAAACCAATACTACAAATACAATTTTATACACCGCCAATTCAAAATAGCCGTTGCAAAAAAAAATCAGTTAGCAAAATAACCTTTAAAAACCTTTAACAGCTACCGTTAAAGCTCAAATTTACAATTCTGATTGCTAAGTTAAGTTTGTATTCCACTAACTGTTGTAATGTAAATCCAAACGTCCAATTGCATGAAAGTTGAATATCCAAATATTCAATGAGTAATATAGTTGTTTATAGCTTTTGAAAAAGTAGCGGTTTCTCGCTGAATCGAAAAATTTTATTTTTCCTCACTTGGTGATTTGGACAGTACATTTGAGAATTTTTGAAAAAGTAGTTGTTTACTTAGAATTGCGACTCTTCGTAGCCTTATTTAGAGAAAGCGTCATTATATTTTTGCTTACGCTTGCTTATACTAGTACAACACTCTAGTTTAGCCTCCTCCCGAGTCGTGGTTTCTGGCGGGAAACACAACAACAGAGAGAGAAAGAGAAAAAGAAAAAGATGGAATCAGATGGAGCACTACCCAAATGGGCATTAGAGCCTTGTATGATGGGCATCGATGAAGCTGGTAGAGGCCCTGTACTAGGTTTGTTTTTCCCTTTTTTTCTTCTATTTTACAATAATTTTTCATATTTCATCCGATATCTAATTTCTTTTTTCGATAATTTTCAATTTGCTAATTAAAATGCTTTTTCTGGGTTCAGGTCCAATGGTGTATGGATGCTTGTACTGTGCTGTTTCTTTTCAGAAGACTCTTGCTTCATTGGAATTTGCAGGTTTTCTCCCTTTTTATTTTTTTGAAAATTTCAATTTAATTTTGCTCTAATATTTGGAGTTTTATTGATTTGTTAATTAATTGTTTTTTTAAGCTAATTTGCTCTAATATCTGGGGATTTATTGATTTGTTGATAGATTGGTTTTATAAATTGATTAAACAATTACTGCTAATGCTTGATTTTGCTGTTAATACAAAGCTGGTAAAGTTTTCCTTTCATTAATTGGAATGTAAAATAATTGGAATTGGCTCATATCGGTTGTGGAGGATGCCCCAGTTTTCCCACCGTTTGGTATGTGGGATGGGGATTTAAGGGTGGGTTCAGGTTAGGGAATTGATTAGCAGGACAAGGATAGAATAATGTCCATCAGTTATTTGGTATGTATTGAAATTAAGTTGGGAATGTAGATAAATTATGTATACTAAAATGGTGGAACTTTTTTTCCTATTTTGTTTGCAGTGAGCCAATGATAAACAAATCATTTATGGCCTAAGGAAATACTCTTCAAAATTTAAGAAATGGGTAAAGAAAGCTCTTTTGTTGAGGAGATAAATTTCTTTTATTTATTTTAAGAAGAGGAGATAAAGTTCTGTTTGGATTTATCCATTTAAAGGATCCTTAGTTTTAACAGTTTTGCATTCAAACCAAAATTGTTTCAAACCAATTGTGGTATGCGTGTCTCATCGTCATTTCATTGTTGTTAAATGTATTTTATAGGCTTTAAAGGCATGGATTTATATGTGTCTGGTATGTGTGCCTAAATAATTTGTGCGAGCCATGCTTGGTTCCAGTTTTTCATGCTTTACCTAGAATATACATGTAGATTGTAGAACCTCATTTTCTTGAGTTGCTAATCCATTCTTTGACAGATTTTATTCATTTTTTGTATGCTTTTGGTCCATTGATTCTCCCTCTATAAAGAGCCACTATTCTTAGTACAAATTTGACTGTAGCTCATTATATAAAGCTCTTGAACTTGGAGGATTATTACTACTCCATATATCTTAATTCAATATCCTTATATTAGAACCCAAACCTGTCTGAAATATATGATGGCTGCTAACATGCACACAGACATATGTTTGAGATAAGCTGCTCATCTAGAAACTATAGAGGTACAGTTGACAAAATTCCTACTAGTCTTCTACGTGCTTGAATAACAAGGTGTTGTTAGCCATGTTTCCAGTTTATGCTTTTGCAAGTTACTAAAAGTCCACCCAAGAACATAGTTTTTGCTTCTTTTTGATGAAGTAGTTTATGAACTTACCCTGTTTCATTTTGGATTTCAATGCTCTCTTTTTGTGCTTTTAGAATTGGACTTGTCTTAAGTATTAGTCAAATCTTGAAAATTAATAGCTCCCTAACTTCGGAAGTGACTGGGTTAAGTCTGATAACGGTATGCTTGTGGGTAGAGCTGGTAATTAAGCAATGCATAATTCCAGAAGCAAAATGAATACCCTCATCATCCACTTGGATGTACCTAATAATATATCTTCTAATAGTATATCTTATTTTGTAGAAATTTTCTACATTCAATTTCATTGAAATTTACTCAAAACCTATATCACATGAAATTGAGACATTTACTAGGGATAGAGTTCATTATTTTCCTAACTGTATCTGATGGTTTTGTTGCATCTATAAAATCCATTCTGCCTACTCTAGAAGTATAACCCAAAAAGCGTATGGTGAGATTGAGATCATCTAAGATTTTTTTATTTTTTATTTTATTTTATTTTATTTTTTTTTACCTTAGATTTCTAATAGATATAACCAAAATCGTTTGAAGGAGTTGTGTGACCCATCCGCTCACTTGTAGCTGTTTTTTTAAAGCACTAATTTGGCAAAGATGCATTATAAGATGATGCATGAATAAGATAAGATAAGATCGATCTGTAAAGAAGCATGTAGGATGCTCTTGAATTTTAACTAAGATCTGATCCATATAAAAAGATTTGCTGAAAAGAATTTAGTAGAGAAGATTGGCCTGGATGCCTGGTCGAACGGGACATGTTCCTAACATTGTATCTTTAAGGGGGTCTATTTATAGGAAGCTATCCTGATAAAATTATTTTGGAAGGGAGATTTAATTTATCTCCTTCTGTCTATAGATTTCTAAATTCCAATTGGGCAAAGAATCCGGAGTTACCATCCACCTTCTCGCATAGTCATCATACACAGGGTAAAGGCCACGACCTTAATTCCTCTTAAGGTAATCAAAACGACCCTCAATGTATAGTCTAAAATGCAAATTATAGTCTCTACGTTCGTTAGACAACTCTATACGATCAAAGAAATGCATGATTTGGTCCATATCAAATGAAACATAAATGGGTGGAACTGTCCTTAAATACAACAAATGGACATAGCGTGGTGGGCAGGTGGGGGAAGTGGATCCTCGGGATTCTCACTTCCCCCGGGTTGAGATATGAAACCCTCCTCGGTTAAAACCTAGTGTGAATCAAGGGAAGAGTAAATCGAGGGTTATCTCGCACCTTCCAATAAATTCTATTAGGTTGGAAATTTCTCGTAGGGCAACTAATCCATCCTAATTCACTTAAATACAACAAGTCAATTTGGGTATTACCTAATTTAGCCTTTTTTACATTATCATCTTATCATAACCAATATGTGGTGCACATGCAATGTGAGTGATCAAGGTAAATTGGTGTTCGATTTTGGGAATTTCTTGTTTAAGCTAAATGTGAGGGGGTTGCCCTAATATAATTTTTCACTTCTTTGATGATATAAGTAGGATGTGTAAGGATTTTGCTTTTTTCAAGTGTGTTTATGTTAGACGGGCGAGAAATACAGTAGCTCACTTAGCGGCTAGGTGGGATACGAGTAGTAGCAATGAACGTATTTGTATGAATTTTCCCCCAAAGTTTCATTTCTTTGGCGGACCTCGATTTAATGAATTAATTTCCTGCGTTTTGTCTTAAAAAAAAATTATCGGTATCCTCACTATTTTGGTACAAATAGCAATCGAGGATTTCAAGCTCGGTGCTCCTAACGTTATGGGGCTCATTTCTACCACAAATGGTTAAATTCATAAATTGTTGCCATAATTTGTTAATGAAGTGATAAATTGTAGTTTCATGCAAATACAAGAGGGACATAACTACCTCTTCGTTTAATTTCATCCACAAATCATTCACATTGTAAGGTCCGTTAACCGATGGTCGGGATTCAAACTATCATCTAGAGAAAACAAAAGTGCAAAATCCCTAAGATTCATACGATGGTCCTGATCAATCAATCTAAGGTAGTTTATAGTAATTACTTTACGTTTTTTCGAGACTTCAATGGAACTTAAAAATTCATATGTTAGATGTTTAAATGTAAAATGACACGTAGTAATGAATGAACCTATACCAACACCTGTAAAAACTCGTTTAAGTCACTCTTTAACTCCAACAACACTTAAAGAATTATCATGAATAACTCTAGTTGGAATTAAAGGTGTTGAAACTTATCTCGTTGTTGTTGGGTTGCAAAAACAACCTTCGAGTAGTCATCGTTTCTAGAATTCTTCTGTTCCATTGGAATTTGTTGTTGTTGCTCCTTTGCCCTCGAATTTTCTTCCCTTTGCCTCTTTGAAGCTACCTTAGGTGCCATTGATTGATTGTAGCTTTCTCTCTCTAACTCAAATAATGGGTACCTTGAAAAATGAAAAAAAATGAAAATTTCTAGTTAGAGGATGTAGAATGGAAAAGGATCACAATGATATAAGTAGAAAATCTAAAGAAAATTAGTATTTTAGTTGTTGTTTAGAGAGAGAAAGTGAGAGAATAAGAGAGTGTGAATGAAAATAAGAAAGGAGGAAGAAAGAAAAAGGAAAGAAATCAAAGCTATAAATTGAATCTGATTTAATTTATAAAGTTGAATTAGTCTCTTCATTCCTGCAAGCTTCTTATCCATATTGTGCTCTTTGATTTCCAAAAAAGCTTTGTGCTTCAACTCTACCTGAAGATGACAAAGGTTTCGTATGTTAGCCCAAAAGTGTCTTAAATGCAGTCTTGTAAGCCCAAAGTGTGTTGTAGAGCTTCATGCTCCAATTTTCCTAGACTTGCAACCACTTTCTCTAAAATAGATTTTATCTCTCGATTAAAGACCTCAACACCACCACCACAACACCAGTTGTTTGAGGGCAGTATGCAAGTCAAATTATGTGATAAACTCCATACATCTATAGAAAGGCGTTCAATTGTCGTTCTTGGAAGTACGAACCTCTAATAGCTTGGGAAACCTTGATATCATTATTTGGTGAATCAACGGCCTCCATCCATTTCGACTCACAATCAACAGCCACAAGTATGTAACAATTCTCATTTGAAGTGGGGAAAGGTCTCATATAGTCAATACCCCAAACATCAATAAAATTTACTTCAAGAATACTAGTTTAGGGCATGTTGTGCCGCCTCAAAATGTCACAAGTCCTTTGGCAAGAATCAAACGAAAAGACTGCATCTTTGAACATAGTAGGCCAAAAGAAACTTGACTTGTTGAGCTCCACGACAATCTTTGAAGGGCTATAATGTCCACGATATGATTAGTTGTGACAACGATGTAGGATTCTGTTCACTTCCCATCGGGTACACATGTGCGAAAAGTCCATCAAAACTCGGCCAATGCCGAGACAACCATTCGGGTACACTAGATTTATCCATTATATCTTAAAACAGATTTTTACAAGATGGGTTCATTCTTTACAATGCGTCATCTTACTTGTAAAACATATGAATTTCTAAGTTCCATTGAAGTCTTGAAAAAACGTAAAGTAATTACTTCAATTTACTTTAGATTGATTAATCGTGACCATCGTATGATCTTAGGATTTTGCACTTTTGTTTGGTTTAGATAGTAGTTTGAATCCTAACCCTACCTTATAATGTGAATGAATTGTGGATGAAATTTAATGTAGAGGTAGTTTTGCCCTTTAACATTTGCATGAAACTACAATTCATCACCTCATTCACAAATTATGGCAAATCACCTCA